TTAGTAATTTATTAAGATGAACTAAGTCGATTTTTTCTATATGACCAAAAAGATAATATAAAAAGAAAAAAAATATTAAGTATATAAATTGACATGACATTAGTATTAGAGATATTATTGAATACTAATAAATAATTAAAAGTACAATTCGTCTATTTGTAATGATTGAATTGCCACTCATACAGATTTTTCTTCTATAATTTTTTATCTGCAGTCATAAGCAGATGTCTTTCAGAAGTAAGAATTTGGTCTGAATTTGGTTTTTTAAATTAAACAAATGTATCTTAAATAAAGAAATATAAGGAGTGTATGGTATAGTTCTCCTTCCTCTTAGGGGATTAAATACAGTATATATAATTATATCTTGGTACAAAAAATGAATTAGGGGATTACATATTTCCCTTCTCATCTTGTGCACTAGCACAAAAATAAAAATTTCTATTAACTTTTACACCAGTTAATGAGAAACCAATGTAAAATATATATATATATATATATATTTTTGATACACCGGTGTCTAAAGTTAAAAATTAAAAATTCAATTTTTGCACTGTAGAATCCAGACTGTCAATTTTTTTCCAAAAAAAATTAGGTAAAGAAATCATCTCGATACTATCCAGATCATATATTATAGCTACACAGGAAATATACAATACTTACTACACGCACAAACACATGTCTATACGCACACATACACAAATGAATACAAACTGTTTTTCAGATTAAGAAGCTCGGATGAAATATCTCAATTCTCAAATGAAATTTCAAAACATATTTACAAGTCATTTCTAACATATTTCACCAATATCAAAGAAAACCTTAAAACTCATTAACTCTGTCTTAAAATTTAATAAGTCCTCAACTTTGTCCCTATTAAATATACATACTATAATAACATATTTTTCTCTTTTTAATATTCAATTGAGGGTAAAAGAAAAAATTTGTTATGAAAATTTAATAACATGACTTGTAAATAAGACAAAAAAAATCCTTCTCTCCCTATGTATTGGAGCAAAGAGAGTATGTAACAAGTAACAACTTTTAACGTTAAACTGCAACAAATTAGCATGTACCTTATCCACAAAAATCTTTTCAATTGTAGTATTCAGGTCATCTTCCCAGCACCATTTCTCTCCCTCATCTCCTTCTTCAATGTTGACTTTCTGCAAGTTTAGTGTGCTTTGGATTTTCTCACAGAAATTTTTTGACTTAGAGCAGTTGCTCACTATTAGAATATTGAAATGGTAACAGCCACTAGTATTGATGAATATTCTTGATACATAATAGTGAACCATTCACAATAGTATAAATAGAGTGCCAGAATGAGTGAATGGTGCTACAAGTGAGAAGAAAAAGATACACGTAGCCCTAGGAATATTTTAGAATAAGGAAAATTGATAAAAACAAAAACAAGCTGTACAATGAAAATAAGAAATGGGCCTAATGTGATTGGGCTTAGCATATCTTAGCCTTTTTACTCTAACAGCCCCCGTTAAGTTGAACGTAGGGGATTAACAATGGGGCTTAAGTGCATAGCAAAACGAGGAGCAGGCAAAGGCTTAGTGAAGAGATAAGCTAATGATCAGTCTTGAGAAGATAAAAAGGTGATGCTGAGAGTCTTGGCAGCAACTCTTTCTTTGACAAAATGAAAATCCAACTCAATGTGTTTGGTTCTGGTATGCATAACTGAATTGGCAGATAAATAAGTAGCGCTAATATTGTCACAACAAGGAGTGGGAGCAGTGGACAAAAAAATACCCAATTCCTTAAGGAGAGACTGAAGCCAGATTAATTCACAGTTAGCTAAAGCTAAAGAATGATATTTTGCCTCTGTAGAGGATCTAGCCATAGTTTGTTGTTTTCGAGCAAACCAAGAAATGAGGTTCTGACCAAAGAAAACACAAAAACCACCAGTAGATCTTCTATCATCAGGACAGCCAGCCCAATCAACATCAGAGAAGGCAATAAGAGAAGATGAAGGTGACTTGCGTATTGAAAGACCATAATCAACAATATATTTTAAACAACACAATATGCGTTTAACAGCAGTTCAGTGAGTATCTTTAGGTGAGTGCAAAAATTGACAGACTTTGTTAACAGCATAAGATATATCTGGCCGAGTAAAAGAAAGATATTGTAGACTACCCACAACACTTCTATAAAGAGTAATGTTAGAAAAACTATTGCCATCATGGATAGATAACTTAGTGCCAAAAACCATGGGGGTACGCATAGGCTTACAATGTAGCATATTGGTCTTTTAGAGCAAATCAAATATATATTTATGTTGAGACAGAAAAAGACCTTAAGATGTATAAGTAGCCTCTATACCAAGAAAAAAATGTAAATCACCCATATTTTTGACAGGGAAAAACTTGCCCATAAGAGAGATGAAATTTGATATGGATGAAGAATCAGACCCAGTGATCAATATATCATCAACATAAACCAAAATATAAATAGCTGAAGTAGCAGTCTTCCAAATAAACAAAGATGAATTAGACTTAGATGGAGTAAAACCAAGTTGAGTCAAGCAATCATGTAGATGAGAAAACCAAGCAATTGGAGCTTGCTTTAAGGCATAAATGGACCAATTAAGCTTGCAAACATAGTGAGGATATTATGGATGATGACAACCAGGAGGTTGTTTCATGTAAATTTCCTCCTCAAGAAAACTATGAAGAAAAGCATTTCGAATATCAATTTGTTTAATAGGCTAACCACCAGTGACAGCCAAGGATAATATTAGCCGAATTATTGTAGGTTTAATTACAAGAGAAAAAGTGTCATGAAAATCAATACCTTGTGTTTGATGAAAACCCTTAGCAACCAATCTCACCTTGTACTTATATAGCGTTCCATTGGGATGAAATTTCTAGCAAAAGACCTATTTACAGCCAATAATCGATCACCTGGATGATGGGGGAATAAGAACCCATGTCTAAGTGGAATGAAGAGCATGAAGCTCAGTGTTCATAGCATCACGCCATTCAAGAATTTTGAGAGCAGATGCGGTAAAGGTGGGTGTATTGAGATTCAAGTTGATTGTGGTAAATTATTTAGGCTTAAGGGAGTGGGTTTGAGCACGTGTGACCATACGAGGAGGAGTGAAAGGAGGAGCAGGCGACGGAGTAGACACGACAGTGATAGAGGGAGACACAAATGGTAATGAGAGAGAATAAGAAGGAGACGAGGCTGAAAAAGGGTTGGGAGAATCCAAAACAGAGTTGGATCGGGTAGGGGAAGAAATGAATCTAGTAAGTGGACCGAGAATGAGAAGAAGACTGATGAGAATTGGGCTAAGAAGTGAGATTAGGTAACATAGTATAGGAAGGATTTGGGCCAGAAAAATTTAAAGAAAATAATTGTGGAGCAAGGAAAATGGTTTCATCAAAAATAACATCTCGAGAGATATACATATGACTTGTCTTAAGGTTAAAGCAATAGTACCCACAATAATTATTGGTATAGCCTAAGAAAATACAAAGCACAGAACGAGGCTCCAACTTGTGATGGACGTAAGGCCGTAAATTAGGCCAACAAGCACAACCAAAAATCTTAAGGAAGGAGTAATTAGGAGAATGATGAAATAATAATTGATATAGAGACTTGTATTTAAGAGTTGGTGAAGGAAAATGATTGATGAGATAAACAATAGAAGAAAATACATGGACCCATAATTTTTGAGGAAGAGAAGCCTGTGTTAAAAGAGCGAGACCACATTTAGTGATATGACAATGCTTTCGTTCAACAGTACCATTTTAAGCATGAGAGTAAGGACAGGAAATGCAATGAATAATGCCATGTGATTGAAGAATAGAATGTAAGGCTTTAAATTCACCACCTCCATCTATTTGAAGAAATTTTATTTTAGTCTGGAAAAGATTTTCAACTTATGTTTTGAATAATTGAAAAACAAAGGTAACATCAGATTTTAAGCGAAGTGGATAAAACCAAGTATATTTGGTGAAGTCATCAATAAAGGAAACATAATATCGATAACCTTTAGAAGACAAAATAGGGGATGGACCCCATGTATCTGAAAAAACAAGAAACAAAGGGGTAAGGGAATGATGAGAAGAAATGGGATGAGGCAGTACATGGTTTTTAGATATATTACAAGCAGAACATGATGAAGACAATGCAGAAGTGGAGTAAGGAAGAGAATATTTTACTAAAATGTGCTGAGCAGTCCTAAAAGCTGGATGACCAAGTCTAGCATGCCATTGATCTTTAGATGCTTTAACTCCAAGACAAGCAGTAGGAGCAATTCGAGAAGGGTAGAGATAATTATTTATTAGCCCGTGAAAGAGAAGTTTCTTGGTGCGCATGTCCTTAATAAGAAAATGAGAAGGATAAAATTAAAAATAAACATTATTGTCATAATAGAAATGATAAACAGAGACAAGATTTTTGTTAGAAGAAGGAACATAAAGTAAATCAGATAAGAAAAAATTACAAGAAGTAGAGAATTTGTGTGCTCTATGATGAGCTATGGGAAGAGTGGAACCATCAGTGGTATGGACTTGGTCACGACCTTTGTATGGTTCAAACTGGAGGTTGAGGTTAGAGAGATCATTAGTTATATGATTGGTTGCTCCAATGTCAAAATACCAAGCATCATCGGGAGCAACAGTACTATAGTTGTAATGAGCGTCAACAAGAGAAGGAGGAGGTGGAGCTTGATAAGAGTGATCAAATCTGTGATAACACATGTGCACAGTATGGCCATATCATTCACACAAATGACAGTACAGGTCAGAATAAGAGGAACGTCCACCACAACCTCCGCAACCAAAGCGACCCTTACCTCCAAGATTAGTATGACCACCTCTGCCACGTCCCCTAAAGTACTAACCAGTATTTGGTGGAGGGAAGGTATTAATAGATTGAGGCCTAGTATTAAAATTAATAGATATATTGGATAAAACAATTGAAACAGAAGTGTTTTTAGATAGACGAGCTTCTTGCATAAGCAAATAGCTAAGCACATCTTCAGGGGTTAAAGTAAGAGCTCGTGTGGTTATAAAGGAAACAATAGAGTCATAATCAGAATCAAGACCATTCAACAAATATGTAATAAAATCAGTGTCATCAACAGGTTTTCCAACAGTGTTCAAAGCTTCAGAGAGGAGCATAGCACGTTTAAAGTAATCATTAATGGAATCACTGCCCTTTTTTAAGTTAGTAATCTGATTATGGAGATGAAGAAAATGAGTTTGATTCCTTTGAGTAAATAATCATTCAAGATCAAGCCACATGGAATGTGCTATCTTATGCTTAATAACTTGTCCAATCAAGGATTCAGAAAGTGAAGAAATGATTACTAAAAGAGCCAATTGATCCAAATGAAACCATTTTAAATATTCAAGATTAGGGGAGCCAAAAGTTGTCAACTCAGGAGGAGGTGAATATGAGCCATCCAAAAGAGAAAATAGCTACTGGCTGTTTAAGTGAGGCCCCATTTACACCTTCCAGACAGCATAATTTTCCTGAGTAAGTTTGATAGAAATAAAATGAGAAGGAGAAGAAGAAAATAAAGAAGGAGAAACTAATAGTGGCTGAGACGGAGCATTAGAGCTATCAGAGTCATGTGAGGCTAATGAAGCCATAATAATTTTCATGGCTCTGATACCATGTTAGAGTATTGACATGGTAACAACCACTAGTATTGATGAATATTCTTGATACATAACAGTGAACCATTCATAGCAGTATAAATATAATGCAAGAATGAGTGAACGGTGCTACATGTGAGAAGAAAAAGATACACGTAGCCCTAGGAATATTCTAGAATAAGGAAAATTGATAAAAATAGAAACAATCTGTACAATGAAAACAAGAAATGGGCCTAATGTAATTGGGCTTAGCATATCTGAGCTTTTTTACTCTAACACTCACTATCAATTTTTCAAGGGATGGAAACCCGAAGACAAGTTTATCCTTGGAATTGTAGAAACTTGTGAGGTCTCTTAGAGACTCAAATTTTAAAATTTTCAATTTGCCAAAAACAATCTTTTCTTTTGTGTCTTCTGCATTCCCTTCCACCGTGACAATTTCCTCCATTATTTCACATTCAGCAACCTTCAATACAGTCAATTTCACCAAGGATTTTGCAGTAGACAATGACATTAAATTCTTTAATTTGCCACAATTCCAAACTTTTAGATATGTCAAGTACTTGAATGACATGGGGGAAGGCAATAAGTTTCTCAAATGATCACAATAAAAAATGTATAGCCGCTTAACCCTTTGAAACATGGGGTCATTTTTGAAGCTTATATTATGTAGAAGATATGAATTTGACAATCTCAATTCTTTAGGATGGAATATAGTTCCAAATTTCTAAAGTGAAATAAGGCTTCCATTAGCCACCACCTCTTTGATAGTAGAATTCCATAATTGTAAGGATTCTAAATTAGAACTCTCTTGAGAAAACTAAAAGAGAATTTCAAAATCACTCAATTTATCAAGACAAAGATGTTTTATATTGCGCATTTGATCAAGATTACTTCCAATAAAGTCCTGCAACCACTTCCCTTCCTTTGGGCCCAACACTAGAACTTCCAAGTTGGATAACACCTAAAGGTCAAATTAGAAGAAAAGGAGAACTTTAGAAGAAGACAACTATTTAAGCCATACCAAGTGTGCTTGTAGTAACTAGTAAGGTTCAGTTAGCTTGAAGAAAATCTTCAAGTTCATTAAATTGCATATTTTTAAATCATGATATTTATAAAGGACAGCCATTTAAGCTATAATAAGTAATCAAGTTCTAGCATTTTGTGAAAAATCTTAAGTTCACACATTTGTAATTTTGTGCAATCATGATTCAAAACAAATAAAATGACACAAGTGTCTTTAAAGAAGACCTCAAGTAAAGCTGAGAGCATTGGTTTCAATTCTAAATTTCCTATTTCCTTGTCAAATGCTTCCAACTTGTTACAATGATACAGACCCAATTTACTCAACACTTGGAAATCTATACTATGTGTTCTCTGGTAGAAGCTTATGAGTTTTGGTAGACCAAACAATCCCAGCTGGGTTAGCTTAGGAAACCCAAACATGAAGTTGCTTTTATTTAATGCATCATCATTGGTTACAATTTCCTTTGTCCCTATATAATCATTTATGTGAATGCCCACCAATTTTATAAGATCAGTAGGCGACAGAAAGTGGGAAAAGATTTTCTAGGCTAGGGCAACTCGTCAAAGAAACGTCTTGCAAATTTTTTAAATTAAGAATTCCTTGAGGATCTCTGTTCCATACATGCTTCAATTCTGGTAGATCTTCCAATTGAAGATTGCACAAGTTTATTTCATTCCTCCCTCTAATTTGAGGTGCAAGTTGAAGGTTAAATATCTCTTTGACCAACTCACAATCAATAACCTCCAAGCTACTAAGATTATGAAACTTTCCTACCATGTATTGAGGGAAAATGATGACAAGTTTATCACAATCTTTGATGATCATAGATTCTAAATAGTGAAAGGAATCTAGGCCTTCAACTTCTTCATACTGGTGATTTCAATTTTCTTCAATTAAGGAAAGACATCAAACTCCTATACATAGACAAAATTAATCATAATTTAATCAAAATTATAAAAGAAAATAATTCCTCATTTTATGTCTAATCAAATCCAATGCAACCGCATACCTTGCTTGCTTCATTTTTGTTGATGTCTTCTGTAGCAAGAATATCTATTATCAAATCACACCTACTTATAAAAAGGCTTTGCAATTTCATCAAGCTCTTAGCCATTGATGATGAAACTAAATATTTCAAGCTACCATAGTCCTTCACAATCAAATTTGTCAAATTTTGAAAGTTACCCCATACCTCCTTGACATCAATCGAAGACAACTCCAAGCTCTCTAGGTTGGGAAGTGAAACCTACTAACAGAAAATTTATTGTAAATTTCATATTCACAAGAGAGTAAGATTTTAAAAGCTAAGCCAACTTCTTTGATTTCACAATAAACTAAAAATGATTTAACAAGCAATCATAGAAAGGTATAGAGAAATATAATTGTTTAGAGTTCATAGAATATACCTTTGTATTAAAGAGCGGATGACAAACAACAGTAGCTTCCATTTGAGATCTTGGAACAATCTTGTCATTAGCATAAAAACAAGCCAATACTGGTAAGGATTGCATTATCAAAGTGCACAATTGAGGAAATGCAATGCTATCATCATTTGCATTGTTGTTAGTAGTATTCTCTTCTCTTTCCACAACAACAACATCCTCCAAAAAATCACATTCAGAAACTTCAACTGTCTCAAGATTTGTGAGAAATGTAACCATGTGAGAAGAGAAGACACTTTTCAATCGAGCACAAATTTTGACCTTGATAGTTTTTAAATAGTGAAAAGCATCATTGAGTTAATACTAGACAATATTAGTACCCTCAACTCACCCATTCTGTGAAAAAGTTTGTATGGTACTTTCAAGCAAGGTTCTTTGCTATTAAGATGGAAGACTTTGAGTCTAGGGCAATTTATATATTCTAGAATATCATCAATGATATCACAATGGTGTAAAGAGATAGTGGTGTACCTTTCAAATGTATCATTATTAGGCCACTCATCCACTTTACTGTATCTTAGGCTAAAAGCATTTTTCTCCTTGGGGGCTATTAATAGAGCCGAATCATTGATCATATCATGCATGGTGACATGATCAGAAGAACTAACATTCAATAACAAACTAGAGTCTTTTAACTCACCGATCACCATATTTGTTCTATCTTGAGCTTCTTTTATTGTATTAACTCCTTGAAATATGCTTAAACCAATGCAATATTTTACCAAATCCATTATCAATGGATCCTCACCCATTTGAGCGTAAAGTAAGAAAATAGACTTGAGCTCTTCTCTTTTCAAATTATTGTAACTTAACCTTATACAAATCTCCACTGGCTTTAGCACTCTAGCCAATTCTTGCTTTTCTATTTGCTATAATGCATTCTCCCAAACATATTGTTTTATTATTCTTTAAAGCCTTTCCAATTGTTACTAATGCCACTGGCAACTTTGCATACTTATTGGCAATTTTAGCTAATAATGATTCTAACTCATCAAAATCTCCATCAACTATTCTTGCTACCTTGTTGAACAATTTTTCCGCATCCTTTTCTTCCAAGACTTTGACAGAGAAGATTGAGCTTTCCTTCACATCCATTGCCTTAACAATACCTCTTTGATTTGAGATGTTAGCAAAATCTTACACCTTTTAAAACCGCCAGGACGCTTTTCTGTTTTTAGCATACTTTGACCAGAATCATGCATATCTTTGATTATCACCTGGCTGATAGCATCATCATTAGATGGAATTCCCAACATGTTGAGGTCAAGTCCTGCCCAAAGATCATCAAGGATTACCAAAAACTCTCCCTTTCTCCTTCTTTAACCTTTATAGCAAATGGCCTAGTCTTCCAATCCCACTCTGGTCATTAAAACTCAAGCCCAACATGTCTGCAATTTCTTGTTGAATCTTTCTTACATCAGGAGTGATTGTTATACATGCCATAACCACCACATCAAACAGCTTTTGTGTTATGGCTTTCCTTCCAACTGCTTTAGCTAAAGTGGTTTTGCCAACACCACCTTGCCTTAAGATACCGATCATGTTATTTGTGGGATCTTTCAGAGCATCCATAACACCCTCCACAATGGCATCTCTTGAACTAAATGATTCATAATCACTATCAGAGAGAGCATTAAATTTTTTTTTTATACAAAATGATTTATAAAAAATATAGCATGAATTTCATTTACCATGTGATTACTGTAAGTACAACAGTAATCACCAGACCCAAAAATCCAGCTAAAGAAATCCAGCTCAATTTAATAATCCAAAAGGTACCTCTAATTAGACCCAGAAAAATTTCATTTACCATGTGATTACTGTAAGTACAACAGTAATCACCAGACCCAAAAATCTAGCTAAAGAAATCCAGCTCAATTTAATAATCCAAAAGGTACCTCTAATCAGACCCAGAAAAATTTATTAGAGGGAAAAATATTTTATACTAAAAAAAATATTAATATTTTTTAAAAATATGATTCTAAATATAGTTAAAATAATATATAAATAAATTA